ATTTTATAAAAAGGTATACTGACAAAGTAAGACAGTTTTACCAAATGTAATACAATTACCTTTATACAGCTTTATACAATTACTTGTATACCTCTATATACAAACTTACTGTGAATGTTTTTTCACCCGGGTAGTGGCAGGTGGCGGATGGTTTGCCTACCTGCCAGGCGCCCTCGTGGCACTAGCTAGTCAGCCGCTCCGTTCCCAGCCCCCCACCCGCTCCCTCACTTGTTCAACAAACTCTCACTGCTTCGCCATTTAACTTTCGGCAGGCAGAGAGCGGCGTCGTTTGAAAGCTTATTCTGTCACAGAGCACCGAGTGCCTCTTTCTCTCGGCAGCGGGCGAGACAGAGAGGTGGTTTTAGGCCGCCCAGGCAATTAATGGGACGCCTGCTGTAGCTCAAGTCCCGAGCGCGCCACGCCACGCCGCACCGCTCAGGAAGGCTGAATTTCAAATAAAACCGCGCACAGCCCGAGCCGGTGGTGCAGTGGCGAGTGTCCCGGAGCGCCGCCGCGCCCGCCCTTGTCGTGTATACTCCCGAGCACGCCGAGGCATGCCCTTGGGCCTCGGGCGCCCTATGCGTGCAGCATGCGCTCCTGGAGGCGGGCGGAGGGACGCCAAAACAAAAGAAAAAAGAAATGGAGAGAGAGGAGGAATTACACGTACTCGCGAGTCATGAGATGAGACGCACACCGGGGGCCTGGCCGAGGCCGAGGAGGGGGTCGGATAGGAACCGAGACGCTGCTAGAGGAAGTGGCCTCGGCCCCGAGGACGCACGCGGCGGGACAAACGCATAATGTGCTCCGCTCCCGGCCCGGCCTTACGGCCCGGCCCCCGGCCTCCTGCGGTTGTTTCGCTTCTTGTTTGGTTGAGCCAGCCAGCCAGTGTGCATGTCATCTGCAGCGGTGAGGCAGGTCATGGCGGCCCCGCCGTACACTATGCTCGCCACACCAATGCGGGGCCTAGAGCCGCCGCCGCGCCTTAGCTAATGGGCGGCACTTGTCTGGCCAAGGACGGCTCTTATCAGAGGCCAACGCACGGGGCAGGGCGCGGCAGAACAGTCTATGGCTGGAGAAATGCATCGAGAAACGACCCGCGGCTCGACTCCGCTTATTATTTAGCCACAAAAAAAGATACGATATAAGAAAAAAACTTGTAATTTATTATTATTGTTATTTGAACTTGAAGTTTGCACAGACAGATACATATATAAGGGTAGTTTGAGCTAGTGTAAGAATCAAGACGAGCTGATAACAAGGACAAAGTGGGAACAGGTCTTAAGACTTAACTAGCTCTTGCTTGAGTAACGCACTAATACACAAAAAAATGTGCGTGTTTAAATCCCTGTAAAGTTGATCACTTTCTAAAGACTTAACCGAGAAGTAACTTACGACACTAAACGCACAATGATTGTTTTCGTTCCGAATAAAAAAAGGCACTGCACAACCTTAGGGTAAGTAAGTCGCTCAAATGCAAATGGTGAGGGCGAGAGCAGTCAGTGCGCGAGGCTTATACAAAAACATACTCGCGCGCAACGCGGTATCAATTGGAGTCAGAGGCGGACTGCCACACGAGCAAAAAACGAATATCACAAAATTAGCATGACTAAAAAGAAATTTGACGCGAGCGTCAGTCCGGTGGTCGGCGGCACGACGGGAATGTAGCGACGAAATAGCGCCAACGGTCGGCTCAGTTGAACTTGCATTTGGAGAAGTCCATTTCGGGGTGCTGCTCCATGAACCTGTAACAGCCGCGAAGCGGCAACGCGTCAGACGCTGCTATCGGGGGAGGGGGGGGGGGATTCAAGACGTTTCGATAGCTCCCAGCTTCCTTGGCAGGTCGACAGGGCGGCCTCGGGGGCCTCCTGGGCGACCTACCACTCCTTGGACCCGTCACGGGCGCTGGAAACTAGCGCGTCTATGTATAGTCCCCATACCACCTGTGCTTCATTTGCACGCAAACTGCCTAGGGGCTCATCCAGAAATAAGTTCGTCATTTGCCGTCACGAAACTGCCCAGTTCAGCCACTGCAAGTTCTCATAACGCCTGGTACGTAGGCAACATCTTGCCTACAGCACATGCGTGTACTGCGGGGTGGCCTACTGTGAGTTTCGCAGGCGCCGAGCTCCCGTACTTTGTCGCACAAAGCCGAGAAGACGGACGCACTTTCTAGAAGATCCCTAGTAAGAGGGAATCCCCATCCGCAGATGGAGTGGCGAATACACAATTCGAATTCGAATCGAGGAAACGTTTCAAAGTTTTGGGGGGATTTCAAAGATTATGCGGAACCCTCCACCAACATCGATTGTGCTGCAGTATGACTCACTTCCTGATGGTCTCCTGCTTCTTGGCTTCGTCGCTGGTGGGCAGGCCGAGCTCGCGCTGCCGCTGGTCGTACATCATCTTCTCCACGAGCCCGCGCGTGTCGCCGTCCAGGTCCGACAGCTTGCTGGGCTCGGGGTTGATCTTTTTCGTCGAGATCTCGGGGTCCGAGGTCACCAGTTTGTTCCACCACTCCATCTTGTTGACCTGCGGGACAAGGACAAGTCAAATACGTGAGGGAAGACGCTTTTTCCAGATACCACAGAATGCAAAGGGATGCACACAAAAAAAAAGTGGCTGTCGCAGAGCTAAGAAATAAGTTGATTTGGTGACAGACAATTCAAAATTCAAATTCAAAACAAGCAGTGGGAACTAACAATTACTTCCCAGACCTAAGAGATGCTACAGAGTAGCTATTGCTACGGTAGCCAACACGTTTAAACTGACAAGTTAGCTGCATGCTCTCGCAACTAATTTTTAGCTACTACAGCGGATTAGTTGTCTGTCACCAAATAAACTACTTCCTTGGCTCTAAAGCACCCCCTTTTTCCTCGTGTATTTGAACCTCTTTACCTTCTCTATGTTGACGATGACGGTGGCGTTGTCCTCCAGCAGCCAGGTGCTCTCCTCGAGCTTCACCTCGTGCGGCAGGTCGCCGTCGATGATGGGCGGCTGGCCCTTGAGGCCGATCGTGAGGTGCTTCTTCTGGATGTTGACGACCACGTCCCGCGATCGGATGGCGAACGGCGCCGACACGGGCACGCGCAGCTGCAACACACACACACCGGACCGGAAGCTTAGAGAGAGAGAGAGAGGGCCGTGCAAACTTTCCTCCTCCTCCGCCCGCTGGGGCCGATAGCGGCGCGCCCGGCGGGGCTCAATGGATGCGCGCCCGATGAATGAGCGGGCGGCGCGACAGACCTGTTCCCTCCCGGGGCCAGCCGCCCCACGGCCCGCCCGGCTCCCGGAACGGCTAGATGACGGCCCCCGCCCCCGGGCCAGCCCCGGCCGGCCCCGGCCAAAACAGGCGTGCACGGACAAAAATATACACGTCATCTTTGTTACATGCATGCTACACACTGGAAACGCAAAGTTTGTGAATGCCCATTCGTGCACTGAAGTGAGTATATGTGCGAATTTTCACACATTGCCGCACAAGTCTCCAAATGATTGAGTATAGCAGTCAATCCGCAATCATGCGTAAAGAAAGTAGTCAGACGTCTTCACGACTGGACCGCCATATATGTGCTAATCGATTGGCTATGCAGATATACTATGCCAAAGGTAGGACAGCTAAGTTTTATTGGCAGAGATAGCCAATTCAATGCTGCCCAGTATTTCTTGGTGGGGGTATCAGATGAGCTATCCACAATCCAAAAACAGCTAATGGTTTCAGTTAAGATTTGGCAGCTCAGCTGAAGTCTGTTTCTCCCCGTGTGGAGCCGCACTTGTCGCACCGAGGTGCGGGGCCCCTAGGGACTGTACCAGAACCTCCCCCATCCCCGGCCCGCTCGACCCGGGCAGATCGAACACCACGAGGATTTTAGGCACACGCATGACCGCTTCGTTTTTTGAGGGGAAGCGGACGGTCGCGAGGCTCTGGAGCCGGGCCACGACGCTGGCAGTATATCATTGCGAAACACACGACGCTAAAGCCGAGCGCGGCAAGTGTCGGGGGCGGGGTCGCGGCAGCAGCAGCGCGCCCGCCGAGGCTCCTGCCCACACAAGGCGCAGGGATGGGGAGGGAATGCCAAACTGCGGCCACCGATACCAGGCGTAGCTGAGCCGACCGAAAGCAGCCGCTTGGGCGCGGCGGGGACAATGTTGGACGCTCGGCGACTCTGCTCGACAAGATGACAGCCCTGACTGACCATCCCTCTGTTTGTGTTGCAGATGGAGCACGCCGATGACGGCCTCGGGCTGCCCCTGCCGCTGCCGCTGCCCCTGGGCCAGGCCCTGGGCGCGCCGGGCGGCTGGCACATCCCGCGGCCCTCCCTGAGCGGCGCCTCGGGCTCGGCCGCGTCCGCCAGCGGCAGCGGCTGCTGCGGCTGCGGCAGGGGCAGCGGCGTCTGCGGCGGCGCCAAAGGCAAGGGGAGCGGCGGCGGCTGCCTGTGCCACGGCAGGCACTCCACGTCCTCCCAGGGCTCCAGCCACTGCTCCAGCTCGTCCAGCATGGCCAGCAGCAGCAACAACAGCACGCAGGTGAGCCTCTGCCGGCCCGGCGACGAGCGACCGCAGAGCTGCACGGTGGAGATCCAACCACCCGACTGGAGAGGCTCAGCCCGCCACTCATGTTATTCTAACACACTTTGTTGCAGAGTGGATCGTCAGGAGCACTGCTCCTCACAGCTGCCAACCTTGCAGCGCTACGCCTGGAATCACTACACCCAAACGACAAGCTCGGAAAGCCGCTCGACACGTTGTCAGTGGCGTCGTCAACCCACTTCACAGTTGTTAATGGAATAACTAGACGTACTGAAAAACCTCTCCCCAAGTGCTGCTGCAGGTCCCACCGCCTCACGGCACTTGTACTCTCCATGTCATGCATCATCTCCCTTGGAATCTTTGGCGCGGTATTTTACATGGAGAGTAAGTAAAACAGGGACTATACATACAATCACCTTGTCTGCAAAAGTATTTCATAACACGTATCATCTGTTGCAGTGCGAGCGAGAAGTCTTCAAGTCATGTAGAGACCTTCTACTCTTAAGAGGAACAACAGCTCATATCCCAGTGTTAAAATTGCATCAAAAATTATGTGCTAAGAAAAGGACTTTTAGTACCTTACTGCTCCTCTTTAAATTGTGATCAAGACATGACATCTACATCACTAGTATTATGAAACGTTTCCCCTTTTTAAATACTCAAAGAACATATTCTAAGTTATATATTGTTATTTATTGTCACTGAATATAGCAGAGGAGAGCTAAATTATGAATCAGCTCCAGTACTCTATAGTATTGTATTAGATAATTTTAAGATTTCTTGTGCTTTGATATGAAAATGCAAGCTGCCTAAATCTCCTTGCAACTTACCTTTACAAAACCACCTATTCTGGTTTTGCAAAAGTAAGGTGAAGTGAGAGCCACAAAGAAAAATTATAGAAATATAAGAGAGTTTCAGATAAATATTTGGAGGAATAATAAAAAGGGAAAAAGTGAACTAGAGATTCAATAGAATAAGCAAAAGCTGCAATGTTAAAGAGTAAACAAGTCTCAAATTCATTTCTGTCAAACAAACTAGGGGTCAACCGTTGCGTTATTGAAAGAAACCAAATATAATTTATGTTCCACTTGTGCCAAGAAAAAGTATTAAATTCTGAAAAGATATGCAAATTGTGTTACAAATTTGAAAGATAATACAGTTAATCAATGGAGTTTCTACCAGGGTCAGAGACTAAACAGGCAAAAAATCAATTCTGACATGCGCCAAATATTTGAGACAAAAACTTACAAAGGGTAAACTGACTCTTTCAAGCAGCAATCTTGATATTCAAAGGTACTGCTATGCACTACATATCAAAAGAATCCAAGGAAGTAACGATGAATGATAGATTTCTTTATAAACTGTGATATGGAGGGAAGATGGCTCTGCTGACTGTAATGCTTGATGGCAAAACATTCAAATTCAGCATGGTGAGAAATTTTGATAAATTAATTAAGTTCAATGTTTTAATTGTGATGAATGAAATGTAATAATCTCTGCTGTTGAAGATATGGCAGCTTAAAATAGTTGAAAGTTTTGAGAGGCTGAGCTTCCTTTTCTCCTGATACCAGCCATTTAATTTACTAGTGTGTGACTTTGTGTGAATGTGTATGTGTGAAAATTTTAAAAGTTTGAGAATAAATTATCTATATTCAATGAAGGATTAAAATCCTCAAGAAAGGCGATTCAGATAAACCTCTAAGAGATTTAGACATTTGATATCGCGTCTCCCTATATTTGAATACCAAACTAGATCAAAACAAATACATCATTCTAACTGTGGAAGGATGTCAAAGGTTTGAAACAGATACTGAGTTACAGTACAACAAGCTTCATCCAGATGAAAAAAAGTACTTCTTTTCCAAAAAAACACATTGGTTGTAAAATTACTGTGGAATACCATTATTTTCTCATGCATGATCACAAGAAGCTGATTATCTCCATGGCAATAAGAGAATAGTTTCAGCTTCACAAGTCAATATTATTTATCATGTATTCTGATTTTTATTATACTCTATGATACTTGCAATAAAGTGTTTCGAGTTGTGATTGTGATAGATATCTATAAACCCAAACCCACTGAGAACACTTACCTCCAATTCACTTAGAGTCTGAGTCCATCTGTAGTTCGACATGTCACAGCCATTACCAGCATTGGGCTTCAGCTTTCCTTTCTCTTTTGGATCTTCTTCCTCTTCATCATCATCTTTCGTTTTATCACCATCTCCACCTTCCGCAGGAGTTTTACTAGTACTAGATGTAGGGGCTTCATTCTTTTTCTGTCAGATGGAAAAAGACAATAAGAGGTATATACAGATAGAATTTCAATGACATAAGGTACTGCCGCTAAAATAATTAAAACTCACATCAAGTTCTTTCTGTAATTTCTCCGCTTCCTCATCAGTAAGTTCCATAACTTTAGGGACAGCGGAAGGACTACTAGTAGAATTAGAACTTTTACTAAAGAACTCCTGTCTTTTCTTTTCGTTTTCTTCCTCTTCTTTCCTTCGTTGTTCTAAGCGGCTCTTCCGCTTGGCCTCGCTCTCTTCTCTTTCTTTCCTCTTCTTACTCTCAGCAGCTAAGGCTTCTGTTTCATGAGCACGGAACTTACCGAGTATCATCTATAAACAACAAAGTATTTAGTAACTTGAATGATAAATCTACAAATTACTACAAAAGTATAGAAGATTAGACCTCACCTTCTCAGCAGCTCCCTTCTCCCCACCGATAAAGAAATCCGTTTTACGAGCCAGAAAGCTAAAAATTGTGTCTAACATCTGAAATAGACAAAATTAAAAGAAATTAAGACTAGATCACTATGGCACTATGAGATTTGGCAAGGTTATGTTACGGACGTATAGCAATAGATGGACAGTACTGATGAGTTAGAGATAAACTCGAATGGCAAATACCGAAATGATTTGATATAGAAAAACATGAATACGTCCAATGAATGCACTGATTGATAGATATACTGAAAATGAAATAATACCTCTGGGACACCACTCTCATGCTGTTGGGCCATTGCCAGCAGCATGGAATCAAATTTCTCTGGATCGTTGGATGGCATTTTGACGAAAATTAATAAGATAGAGCACCACCCACAAAACTATAAAATGAAAGAAATCTGTGTAGAAACTTCACAAATTACGCTTCGAAACTTCTAGAAGATGCGGCTCGTTTGACCATGCACTACCACAACCACTGTTTTCAGCGCGCTCGTGTTATGTTCTGTTTAGAGATGGCGCTGCTGTTGCCTGCTCTGTTACTCGATAGTAGAGGGCGGTGCTAGTTGTCATGGCAACGGCGTCCTCCAGTCACAGCGCGCGTATTTTAAAACGTAGTTTTTGTACGTTGAGAAGCGATACGTTCGCGAACAGTTGCTTTCAACAGCTGCCGCTCTCAGCGCCGCATCCCCCACTCGCACAACAGCTGATAAAAAGTTTTTAAACAGTTTTCGATCGAAACGCATTACTTTAACCGAGGAAATGCCGCTTAGTGCTTATCGCTCTCGCTGTCGCTCCCTTCTTGTCTACAATAAGAAAAAATGGTATTTCGATTGAAAATTAGTGAAAATAAAAAATGTTTGTTGTTTTATGGGCCGAGCGAGTAGGCAAACCATACGAGCGATGAGAGCGCCGTCGAAAGTGGCGGCGAGAGCGAGTTAACACGTTGAGTCTCACATGGGTATATGTTGGCTGTTGGCCATGCTTTGCTGGGTTGGGAAAACTATGGTTGAGAAACCGGAAACCATAATCCATCGGCAAGTTACCACGACATTATGGCTCCTAGTGAACAAGATAACCATGGTTACCCATGGTTATTTTGGCCTGGGAAATTCATTCTTCGCTCTAGTGAACATCACACACGGAGTTCAGGAGGAGGCCCAGGCCGATTATAATAATTGAACGGCCTTGGCACACTCCCCAGGGGGCGGGGGCTGGGCAGGGGGAGCCCACTCCGCCGGAGGCCCTACGTACGCCCCACGACGACGCCACGCACGACGCAGCGATACAGCCTCCGCACGCAGCGCCCGCATCGTGATGCGATGCGGTATCGACCGGCCGGCCGGCGAAGGGTGGCGCGGGGGCCGCAGGGGCGCAGTGCAGCCGGAGTCTCGCGGGCCGCGGGAGACAACTTATGTCTACGCGGCGTCTAAAGCTCCGGCGGCAGCGGAGACGGCGCCCCGCCTGCACTCCACCCCCGACGCCGCCGACGCCGACGCGCCGCCGCCGCCCTCCGCTCCGAGGGGGTCATCGACTCACCATTTACGAGATATATGGCCCCAGGCCCACACAAACTTTTCACCTCTGGAAGAGGGAGAAAAGAGAGGTAGAAAGTTTCGCCCGGGCGTTCTGATCGACCCCCCTGCCACTACCCGCCCCTTCCTTGTTTTCGTCCCGGTCGGTCCGGGCCGAACGTCGCGACGGTGCGGCGGCCTCGCACCCATCTCGCTGATCGGCGCCGACAGCGGCGCCCGCCCCCGCGCGGTCCCACCACCTTGCCCCACCCTGCCGCCCCCGCCGCTCCAAAACCAAGGAGAGGGGTCCGCGGGAGGAGTGGTTTCCTGAAGTAATTAACGAGCCCCTCGAAGCACGTCACACTTTGTGTGCTCTTCCGATCTAACAGGTTGTACCCGTGCACAATACAGCATTCCGGTAAAGCTGACGAAAAGAAGGAGAATGAGGGGAAGGCGGGGTTAAAAGCGTGTTCTTGGATTAAGCGCACTGTTCTCAACTGTGTTCTCAACTCAGCACTTGATTCAAACCCGTTCAAACCGGACCTATGGCACCAGCACCAACGTAGTTATGAGAGTCAGGGAGAATAAACGCCCCAGTTTACGTGTTTGCACATACCCTTTGGGCCGAAGGGGACATGGCGCCTTACGGGACGATAGCGAGTAGGCAAACCCGCCTCGCCGTACCGGGTGATTCAGAGAAGACGCAGGGGCGGGTGGGTTTGCCTACCCAAGGGGCTAGCGGGCAGAGCGGGTAGGCAAACCCGCTCGCACCTGCGTCTTCTCTGAACCACCCAGTGCGTGGCGCTTGCTCTGAGACACACTCCGCCGTATAAAGTAGGTGTGCCTCTTAACAAAGGGGGTGGCCGCCCGCAAGGGCCGGTATAAAAGCCAGGCAAGCCCTGCGCCTGGGCGGGGGTGGGGGGCGGGGAGGGGTGCCAGAGCCCGTGCGGCCCCGTGTGAGCCCCAGCGGAGAGGAGGGAGGGGGCGGACAGGCTCAGTGCGGGGGGCTGAAACTCTCGCCGACTTGACACTGACAGCCCGCGGGAAAAAAAGAGGAGCAAAAAGAGCCCCGCCCTGCCGCCCGTGTGCCCGGGGTCGTCGGGGGACAAGTCGGGGAGGGACGGACGAGGCTCTACTTTGAGAACGAAGCCACATACTGTGGTGTGCGCGGGTGAGCGGGGATCCCCTCAGCACTCCCAAAGCCACGGCGGCGGGCGGGTGCCCCGCGCGGCCGCGGGCCGCGCTCCCGCCTCCCCCGCAGCTCGCGGCAGAGTAGCCGTTTGGCAGTGTACAGTTACGATGTAGCTCAAGTGAATCATAGTGGTTGGATGGATGGTCTGTGGTGGCCGGCTCGGCCGGCGGTGCTGTCCGGGCCACACCGCCGGCATGCCGCGCCCGGGTGACTGATCGCGCGGGTCACTCTGTTCAAAGGGACACTCTCCGTCGCCCCCCACGTCCCCGCGCCGCCGGACCCACAGCGACAGCGAGCGCCGAGGACAAGGGCGGGCGGTATTTAATTTCCGGCTCCTGCCGCTATCGTGGCTTTTAGATCCCTGATCCAGTTTTGCTGCGCTGGAAAAAAGAACCCCTACAGTGTTATGGCCTGGCAAAAAAAAACAGGAGGGAGAAAGGGGGAAAAGGGGGGGGGCGTGACACATGAAGGGAGAGGGGAGGGAGGCAAGAGAGGAGAAAAGAAGGGACGAACAGGGAGCCTAGAGAAGTTTTTCATGGTGATCGAGCGTGGGGCGCGGCGTGGTGCGATGACAGCGGGGTGGAGGGGAGGGGCGGCGTAGGGCGTAGGGGGCAGTCTGCGCTGCGGGTGGGAGGAGGGGAGGGAGAGGAGGATAGGGCAGAGCGGAGAGAGCGAAGCAGCCACTGGCCAGACCCGGGCCCGGGCGCGCGGGCCCCGGTCTCAGTGTGGAAGAGGAGGCACGAGACGTCCGTATCGGCACCGGGGACCACCAGCCGCAGCCGCCCGAGCTCCATGAGCGCCAGAGGTTAGTAGTTGCAGGACAACAAGTGCGTCAGCGCTGCCGCCCGCGCCGGTGCACACACACACACACACACACACACACACACACACACACACACAACTGGCGGTGACTTGACGCGGCTGGAGCAGGCGGGGGCGGGCCAGGGGCTATCGCGCCGCGAGGCGCACACCGTCGCCAATCGCAGCTGGTCGCAGTGGTCGTGGTGGTCGCCGACCTCTACCGGCCGCCAGTTCACAGGCAGCAGTGCGACTGTGCGGGTGCTAAAACGAAATAATGCCCCCTTTCTTTCGCTCGTGTGTTTGACGTGCGACTCTCTGACATAACATCTGGAGGCGCGATAAGCGACGTGTCCAACAGCGACCTTCCCTCCCCTCCCCCTGCTCTCCCCACTGTCGAGAGGCGCGTTCGAAAACACGTGCGGCAAGAAGGTATTCCCGTCCTCCGGCCTCGCCGATCTGCTTACGGGTGCAACAGAGCTTTTGCGGCCCGGGCCGGGTCGCGGATCAAGACATTCCAAACTCTGTAAACAAAACTGACAGCCGGGTCATGCATGGGTGCCTCGCTGTGTGTTGTTCTCTGTGTCGTGTTGTGGTGAATTCCCTATCGATTATTTGCGCGATAATGTCATTGGCCTTGCAAGCGCTAGACAAGATGGACAAGACAGGACAGTAGAGAGGGGCAGTGCCGCGTGCCGTGCCGAGCGGGAGCAGAGCGGCGGTGCGGGTGCAACCCGGCGGTACCCGATCGGCCACCAGGACCCCTCTCACCCGCGTCCGACCCCTCAAGACAGAGGAGCGCGAAGAGCCACGTGACCAGGAAGCATACCTCCTTAACGAGACCATCACTACGTAGAGCGTCTCTCGCAGGATGGCAGTGAGACGTCGCCCCACCACCGCCGCCGAGCCCGCGGCGGGCCTCGCCAAGGAGGCCGGCGACCGGGATGGAGTCCTCCAGCAAGAGAGCGAGGCCGATCCGACGACGGGGAGGACCACGTGCCAGGGCGGCGGCCTCGGCCTCGGCGGCTCGTGCATGTCGTTCCGGGCCGTGGTCGGCGTGGACGCGGCCGACCTCTGCTCGTGGCGGCGCTTCGTGGCCATGCTGTACCGGCCCACTGACCCCGCATCCCTGGCCGTCATCCGGATCCTGTTCGGTAAGTACACGCCTCGCGCGCCGCAGCACGTCCGCGTCGGCGGCTACACGACGACGCGGTGGTTTGCCTGATAGTGGTGGCTCTCGCTCCGACAGCCCACGAGTCTAATTAGTCATCAATATCTGGGCTCGCGGGGAAAAGAGGGGAGGGCGGGGATCGGTTATTGATCAGACGGGGAGTAACAATAACCATTAGGTTAATGATGATTTTTATTGTAATTATTTTAACAACACTGATAACGCAAGGCAGGCCTTATCAGCGGCCGTCGCAGCTGTGTCTGCGCTGTCTATGACATAGACATGTTGTGAGTCGGGACGATACCCTCTCCTCAAGCTTGACCTCTCTCTCCCTCGCCCTGGCCTGTTCCAGGCCTGCTCATGGCGATAGACACGTTGGAGGAGCGGGGGCTCGGGGAGGCCGACCTCCGTTGGGGCGCGCCCAAGCGCTGCTACTTCCCCCTGTTCGACTTCCTGCGGCCACTCCCGCTCGCCTGGATGTGCATCATCTACTTCGTCATCTGGCTGGGTACGTATTATAGTCCGCGCCGCGAGAGCCGCAAGACTTGCATCGGGATGAGACAAAATGAAACCAAAACCCCCCGCTTTGGCTGGTGTTCGCTGACCTCCTGACTGACGGACTCTGCAGGCGCGGTGGGGATGATGCTGGGCTACCGCTTCCGCCTGAGCTGCCTGCTGTTCGCCGCGCCCTACTGGTTCGTGCTGCTGCTGGACAAGAGCCGCTGGAACAACCACTCGTACCTGTTCGGCATTTGCGCCTTGCTGCTGAGCCGCTCCAGCGCGCACCACTACCTGTAAGAGACGGAAGCGATCCAAAATAAAGTTTCATGACGACTGTCGATGAGACACTCACTCACTCTCGCATTCCGTCATGTGTCCCAGGTCCGTGGACGCGTGGCTCAACGGGTGGCGGGACCGGCCCGTGCCCCTGTGGAACTACGGCGCGCTGCGGCTGCAGTTCTTCCTGCTGTACTTCTTGGCCGGCGTCAAGAAGCTGGACGCGGACTGGATCGGCGGCTTCCCCATGAGGCACCTCAACAACCACTGGGTGTTCGAGCCTTTCAAGTAAGTGGACAAAGAGAAAGGCGCCATTGAAAGAAATAAAAACAACAACGGCCTAACTGTCTAAGTGCGAATATAGATGCACCCACCTCCCCCTTTTCCCCTAATTTGACAAAATAACGTCATACATGGGTAGGCAAATTGTGCTACAACCCGCTTTAAATAAGAAATACAGGGAGAACAAGCTCCCCCATTCGAGGTTGCCCGGATATGCGCCTTTGAGAGTCCCGGAGAAATGTTGAACCACCCCGCTCTTCCGTAGGCTGGTGCTCTCGCCCGAGCAGGTCGACTACTGGATCGTCCACGTGACGGGCTTCACCCTGGACCTGACGATCGGCTTCTGGATGTACCTGGACGCCACGCGCCCCGTGGCCTTCATCTTCTGCGCCATGTTTCATCTCATGAACTCTAGGCTCTTCATGATTGGTAAGTGGGTTGCACATCATCCAGGTAAATGGGTAAAGGATGTGCTGAAGCAACACACGAAAAGAGTCCCATTTAGATTTCTGTCTGAAATTTCGTGTAACTGGTAGGGCCAGTGGTAGTAGTTTTAACTAGTGTTGCTTCCAGGCATGTTTCCCTACGTCTGCCTCGCCACCATGCCCCTGTTCTGCCACAACGACTGGCCCCGACGGCTGTGCGCCGCGCTGCGGGGCTGGTGGACCCCACAGGAGGCTGGCGGCGGCGCCCACAAGACCGAGGAGCGCCCGTCCTGGGCGTGGTTGGACCCGGAGCGCCACCGGGAACTCGTCGCCGACTCTGGCTGTCTCTCCCCTGGTGCGTACATTGATACTGCGAGTCGCGGAAGTGCCTGGTGTGCTGTGGTGCATTTGACCATACTGGTGCATTGTTTTGTCTTTTCCTACAGCAGTGGACGAGTGCCGCTCCGCCTCCAAGAAAAGCAGGGCGGCGGACACTGCGAAGCCCCTGCGTTGGTACCATCATTTGACGGCCGTGCTGCTCATCAGCCACACCGGCCTCCAGCTCTTCTTGCCCTACTCGCACTTTATCACCAAGGTAAGGATGGGTGACTCAAACACTTGGGGTGGTGACGCGGGCACCCCGAGCACACGAGCAGCCTCCGACACTTAACCGCTTGGGGTGGTCACGTGGGCACCCCGAGCACACGAGCAGCCTCCGACACTCAATCTTTTTGTTCGCAGGGCTACAACACGTGGACCAACGGGCTCTACGGCTACTCGTGGGACATGATGATCCACTCCTGGGACACGATCCTCGTCGTGGTCAAGGTGGTGGAGAAGGACACGGGCCGCGAGCACTTCCTGGACCCGGACGCGTGGGTGGTGTCGGACCGGTGGGCGCGGCACGCCGACATGGCCAAGCAGTACGCGACGTGCGTCGAGCGCAACCTGCTGGCCGAGCTGGGGCGGGAGCGGGAGGGGCGACCGCGCGGCGCCACGAGCCCCCTCTCGGGCCTCACCTCCGACAAGCTGGCCGTGCACGTGGACGTGTGGTGCTCGCTCAACGGCCGCTTCCAGCAGCGCATCTTCGACCCGCGGGTGGACCTGCTGCGCGCGCCGTGGTCGCCCTTCCAGTCGGTGCCCTGGGTCATGCCGCTGCTCACCCAGCTGTCCCCGATGCGGAGACGCATCCGCGAGCTGGAGGCGCAGGTAAGCGTTGCCATCGATGTTGTGATCCGTCGCGTAGCTACGCATAGTGGGCGTGGTCATGGTGACTAACTGCTAACTGTTCATGTCCGTTGGTGCCAGGTGCAGGCGCGGTCCAACTTCTCCGACGCGCTCTTCGTCGCGGACTTCCCCGGGCTGCACCTGGAGAACTACATCTCGGACCAGCTGGAGGACGTGACGCTGACGGTGCTGTCCGGGCGCGTGGTCCTGGAGCTGAACCCGTCCCTGGCGGGCGCCCCCGCCGCCCCGCACGTCCGCCGCGCCAACATGACCCTGGAGGCGGGGGCGAGCGCGCCCGTGCCGAGCAGGGCCTTCCACCGGGTGCACACGGTGAGCGACACGCCCGCCTGCTACATGTACGCCTATACCAACCTCAAGCGCAGGCGCGAGGCGGAGCAGGACGACAAGGCCGAGGGGCGCCGGCGGGGACGCCAGACTGAAGCGCGCTACAATCGGAAATCCCTGCTGGGCGGGCTGCGCGCGCGCGCCCGGACAGTGAAAAGAGCCGTGACGTTGGTTAGCAGCGCTTTCCTCAACATACTGTACTCCGTGCCAATGGTACACACTGTCCGCGTGGGCTAAAAGCAGCCAAAATAAAGTGCACTGAAAATGTATTTAAGGTGTGACCTTTTATCGATTTTTTTTATGAGACTTTGTTTATTGAATTTATTTTTACTTTGGACATTCTTATGTGTGAAGTGCAAGTGTGATATTTTCTGTGTAAGGATTTTCCTTTGATCTCTTATTGAGAAGAAAAATGCTATTTATGTGATATTAACATCGCTTTTCAGTGTGGTTGCTTTATTTCTCAGGAACTGAAAACACGGTTGGTTGTGCAGAAGGAAAATAAAAAAATGTACTAAAAAATCTTTAGACAAATAGCTTTTTATTTGAAACCCCTTATATAGGTGTTGTTGTCACATTACTATCAGACTCTAAGTTGATAAGGTCTGTTCATTGTGGAAAATTACAGATAAATTTAAGCCATTGATGACACACTTTAAAACATAACAAATAATGGCTTATACCCAAAACACAAGATACTGAGTGGGTCTCAAAACAAAATCATGATGGGTAAAACATTTAGTCTTTTCATACCTGTCAATATATGATGACTTAGTTGAGTCTTTGGCACAGGTGAGTTCCTTAATAATTAAATATGTAGACAATCCTCATCTCACTCTCGACATCCTAATGTAAGTGTTACTTTCACAAAATTTGTTTACTTTTCTTTTTTATTTGTTTTCTTAAAGCGTTTTCGTAACTATATTGAGACATTAAAGAAGAATGAAAAGTGTGTGAAGAAAAAGAAAAAAAATAGAGATTTCTACAGCAAAAGCAGAGTTTCAATGACATAAAATTCCAGGTATGAAAGCTGTATTAGTTTTGTAAGGACATACCTTAAAGATAACAAGCTCTCCCTAGCGGAAACAATTCATTTTAGCGAATTAATTAATGGGCTCGATGAGTTAATCCCAAAAATAAAACCATAACAATTCGGCGACGAAAATCGTATCCGAAGCACACTCATTCACGTCGTCATTTTTTGTGCGGGGCTAATTCGCAAAGTTCATCGCGTGGCTGCGAAGGGGTCGGCGGTGGCCTTGACGGCGTCCTTGACGGTGTCCAAGACCACGCCGACGCCTCTCTCGGACCGCGGCGCGGCAGGGGACGGGGCGGGGGCCGAGGCCGCGCGTGCTGCCCAGCGGCGAGGGTTGGGGCGGGTCAGTTCACCGGAGAACAGACAGCTTGTTGTGTGTGTACAGTTAGGACGGAAGAAACAGTCTCTGTCCCCACTCAGGTGGCGGTAAAAAGACGCACAGGCGCAGCCCTCGCCCGCTTTTGAGCTCAATTTTAAACCAAAGCTAAATCTAGTTAAATGTAAGTTTTGTGATACTTCCTCGACATTTTTTCGAGCGGGCCGACGACTGCCCTCCGCTGTGGGGCCCCAGAGCGGTGCCCACAGTGGGGTACCCCGCCAGACCGGGGTCCCCTCGCAGCCTCTCTCTCTCACACACGCACTCACACATACACTCCTCTCACTCTCTCACACGGGCACGGGGCGATAAGGGCATGGTGCGTTTCGGTTGGCACCCGCAGCTGGCAGCACCATCTGCAGCACCAGTGCCAGCTGCAGGAGGTGGGTGGGCGCTGCCATCAAGGTGGTGTCGGTGGTGGTCGTCATGGCAGCGCGAGGCGTGGAGTGGTGGTCCTTCCCTGGCATCTTAACGAGCGTGGTTTTTGCAGAAAGGCCGTCCTCCCTTGGCGAAGAAGCTCTGTCCCTCCAGGTTCTTCTTGCACATCTGCAACGAAAACACGGAGTAAGTGTAAGCACTGATCACAAAAGGAGAGGAGAACGAGGATGGGTTGGGTACGAGGGGTCTACAACTCGTATAATCAAAAGTACAAGACCCTATAATCACTTATAATCACGTCTATAATCTATAATCTTTATCTATAAATTCCTAAAATTTTGATGCAAAAACTGCATCTTTGAGAGGGGGTATAAGTAAAACTATGAATCTTTGAAGTAGCGTCAAAACTGCCTGCACCATTGGAAGGAGAATTGAAAACTGATTCAGAAACATCTATGGCAAAAAGTTGGATTTCTAATTCCTCCCCTTCGATGAAAGATATAAAAAGAATTTATCAGAATATTGTAACTCTCATGACCAAAATTTATAGTCCTTAACTATCACCAAACTTGGTATGCAATTTCGTCTAAGGTCCCTTAGCAGGGTAGTTATAATATACTTACGCTGCAGTTGAAGCATTGGCTGTGGTAGTTGTTGGACAGCGCTTCAACCCAGCGGTCTCCTGCTTCGATGGGGAATCCACAAGCAAAGCATTTTGTGGTGAACAGCTCATTCCAGTCTGAAAAAAAACAAATCAAAATAAGTTTTAATGGCCAATAAAATGTTTAGCCACCCCCCCCCCCCCCCCCTGGGGTTTATGACGTATACCGTTTTCGCAGTAGGGTTGGCCGTCCTCGAGGAAGAAGGGGCTGTTTCCGAACAGTTTACCGCAATAGACGCAGTTGAAGCATTCGGGGTGGAAGTGCTTGCCAATCGCGTTCAGGCAATCCTGAAAAAAATAATAATCGTACTTTACCAGTTGCCCCGCACTCTCTCGTAGTTGGGCTGCACCGCATGCACGCGTACAGGCGGGTTGCCTACTCGTACGGGACCAAAAGGAGCCGTGGGGAGAGAGGAGGCAAACTCGCCCGCACCCATGCATGCGGTACAGTACAACAACGAAAGTGGGCGGCGTGAGTCGGCCACCTGGAATAATCTCATGACAAACTTACCCCCTTAATTTTGTGTCCGCATTTGTCACAGGGTGGTGCGATGAACTGTTCGAAGCAGTACTCGCAGTAGAGCATGCCCTTCTCTTCGACAAAGCCGATGTCCTGCAGAGGGCGCTGGCACTTCGAGTTGCTGCAAGTGAAGTGGTGGGGGCACCAGATCTTGCCGAGGGCCGTGATGAACGGTCCCCTGAAAAAGCACAGCATTTCTTAAAACTTGTTGAGCTTAATACATGAAAATAAGTAAGCCTACTTTCAAAGTTAGATATTCTCATGGTATTGGGAACAGCAGGGAAAACATGCCGTCAGCCTTGTTTTCAGGAAATGTTCTTCTTTACAAATTTTTTTAGAAAGCGTGCCATGAAAGCAATTGAAGGTTTGGCATTTTCTTCCCGTCTTCTCCCTATCCATACCATGAAACCTTGTCTCGACGAGAGCGCATTAATGGTTTCTATAACTCAACCTCAGATGTAACAAGTAGTACATCTTAATACACAACACATACGAATCCATGGGTCTAAACCTGAATTCTGAACCGTCATCAACGTCTCTAGCGCTCCTTACCTCTTAATTTCCGAATTGCATTTGGTGCAGAACGGGTACTCATCCCTGTCCAAGGCATCTCGGATAACTGTTAACAACAACGACGACACAGCCGTGCAGTTAAAGCCAAACACAAGCGATTCCTCTCACAACGTCTGTTAGTGCTAAAACATGACACAACAAGTTCAAAATAGGCGATGGATTAAAATTGCTGACAACTACAACTACATGCCACTGCCACTACTTTAGTGCAATTCGAGGAAAGGCTCTTTATCAATACAACAACGGGGACGACTGCGTCTCACACTTCACACAGGCAGAGCACGGGCTTCACACATTTGCGTTACTCTCATGCGGCGTGGCGAGGCGTGGCGAGGCGACACGCTGTAGTACCTGATCTGCTGGTTACAGGCTCCGCACAGCGGTACCCTCGTGCCGCCGATGGCGGCCGGGTTCAAGATGCCGCGGCCCCTGATCGGAGCGGAAGCTCCTGCGAACGCGCCTCCCTTGGCGCCTCCGGGTCCACCTGCGTCGGGGAGGGAACAACCAGGGTGCAAGTTGGTCGGACCGGGTGCAGGTGCTGGGGGTGGGGGGCGAGCGGGCGCCTGGCAGGGGCGGCTGGAG